GCTGTAAGGCCTAAAACTATTTTTAATTTTTATTTTTTTCTAAAACTATTTTATAAAAAACCCATAAAACTTTTAGAAGAAAACATAGAAGTAAGTCTTTGTGACCTTAGATTAGGAAAAAGCTTGTTAGATATGACAATAGAGGACTGGGTGCAGTGGCTCACACCTGTAATCCCAACACTTTGAGAGGCTGAGGTGGACGAATCGCTTGAGCTCAGGAGTTTGAAACCAGCCTGGGCAACACGGTGAAACCCCGTCTCTACAAAAAACACAAAAAAATTAGGCGGATGTGCTGGCGTGCACCTGTAGTCCTAGCTACTCGGGAGGCTGAGGAGGGAGGGTCACTTGATCCCAGAAGTTCAAGGCTACAGTGAGCCTTCATCAGCCACTGCACTCCAGCCTGGGTGACAGAGTGAGACTCTATCTCAAAAACAAACAAACACAAAAAACAAAACAAAGAAAGATAACAGAAGCAAAAATGACCAAAAAAAAGATAAATTGGATTTTATCATAAAGATCACATCAAATTAAAAACTTTCATGCCCCAAAGGATATTATCAATAAAGTAAAAAGTCTTATGATGTTGGCTATGGGGGAAAAACAAAAGAAAAAAAGAATTAAAAAGAGAAAAACAAAAAAAAAGAAAGTGAAAAGTCAATCCCCAGAATGGGAAAAAAAAATTTGCAAATCATATATCTGATAAGAAACTTGCATCTAGAATATATGCAGAACTCTTAAAATGTGATGATAAAATAGAGAAGTATACCAGTTTTTAAAAAGGTAAAGGATCTGAACAGACACTTCGCCAAAGAAGATACAAAAATGGCTACTAAACATGTAAAAAGATGCCCAACATCATTAGCCATTAGGGGAACGCAATTAAAAAAACCACAAGGAGAACCACTTCACACCTGGTAGAATGGTTATAATAAAAAAGACAGACAATAACAAACATTAGTGAGGATTTGGAGAATTTGGAACTCACATAATTGTCGGTGGGACTGTTAAATTGTGCAGCCTTTTTGGAAAATAGTTTGGCAGTTCCTCAAAATGTTAAACGTAGAGTTACCATATGACCCCAACAATTCCATTCCAAGAGAATCGAAAACATATGTCCACCCAAACCCTGCAAACAAATATTCATAACAGTATTATCCATGACAGACAAAAGGTGGAAACCACCCAAATTTCCATCAACTGATGAATGGATAAATAAAATTTAGTCTATTTATACAGTAGAATATTATTCAGTTACAAAAAAAAAATGAAGTAGTGATATATGGTACAATATGCATGAACCTTGAAAACATTGTGATAAATGAAAGAAGCCAGTTATAAAAGATCACACATTGTAAGATTCCACTTATATGAAATGTCCAGAATAGGCAAATCTATGAGACAGAAAGTAAATTAGTGGTTGCCTAGGGTTGGGGATAGAAGGAATAAGGAATGACTGCTAATGGGTAGTTTTCTTTCAGGGGTGATAAAAATGCTCTAAAATTAGATAGCGGTAATGGCTGCACAACTCTGTGAATATACTAAAAACCATTAACTGGTATCCTTTAGGTGGCTGAATTATATAGCACATGAATTATATCTCAATATAACTATTTTTCTCCTTATGTTTTTGTTTTGTTCTTTTTTTGGTAACACAGAAAAAAAAAAAGGAAGTTTAAACTCAAGAAGTTCAACCTTCAAAGTGAGTTTGAGGTGGCAAAAGAAGGAGTATAATATTTCTATTTTTAGCTCTGATAGTCTAACTTTAGCACAAGCCTAGACTTGCAATATTACACTTAGCATTCCAGTTTCAGACATAGGGGATTTGTCCTTTTCTTCACAAGAACCACCTTTACTGGTTTTGTTTTAAAAATACATTATATATTGAATACACTAAAAATTAGTCTATTTACATTGATGTGATACCTATATCCAGTGTCCCCAAACTGTTAGAATAGTTTGATTTTGCTACACGTGGTAGCAATGTAAAGATGAAGGACTTTTTCCTCTTCCTTGTTACCACTGGGTGCCCAGGCTGTAAGATCAGACTGCCAGACTCTTTCAGTCAATGTGAATTTGGGAGGGGCACTTAACCTCAGGTTCCCTATCTATAAAAGGGGGATAGAGGTAATACTACTTTTTACTTCATAATGTTATTCTGAAAATTAAATGAAATAATGCATGTAAGCTATTTAATATTTAATACTTAGCAGTGTCTACTGCGTAATAAATGTGCAAATGGTAGTAAGTAGACCCGGTGCAGTGGCTCATGCCTGTAATTCCAACACTTTGGGAGGCCAAGACGGGTGGATCACTTGAGGTCAGGAGTTCAAGACCAGCCTGGCCAACATGGTGAAACCCTGTCTCCACTAAAAATACAAAAAGTTAGCCGGGCGTGGTGGCACACGCCTGTAATCCCAGCTAATCCGGATGCTGAGGCAGAAGAATCACCTGAACATGGGTAGAAAAAAATGTAGTATAGCAATTGTTAATTATTACTACTATTTATAGCAACAATAACAGGGGGTTGAGATTATGAAGAAATGGATGAAAGCAAGTTGTAATGTGGCTGAGAACTGAATACTGCATTAGCATCCTGAAAGTAAATGAAGGCAGGAAGGAAGGAGATATAATATTGTTTCTCCATTTCGTTAACATCAGGCAACTACATTGGATATTTAATCATGGTTTTCAGCATTTATTGCTAGAAAACCCTTCAGAGAGGCTTGTTGTAGATAAGACTGTTAAGTTTCATGAGTATTTTTCAGAGAAGAAGATGTGATTCAAATATTGCTACAGAGAGATGACATTTTAGGCCACATGTCTAATCAGTGATACCGTCTGACACTTGTCGCTTTTATAAATCATGCCTTTAATTTGAATACTAGTGTCTGCCGGGAAATTTCTCTTCCCTTGAGGATTATTTGGCTGATGTTTTCCTAGTGAGAGTAGCAAGAACTTTTAGATATTTTAATATTTAATATTAAGAAATTAATATTTCAACTTTGTAGAATAAAGGAAACTGAAAATAACTAGTTATAAAATAACGATTGAGAGATGTAAAAGATCATCTTGAGCTTTATTTGTATACTTTAAAAATGGACTTTAAAACTTTTCAGAAATATAAAAGATTCTCCCCTTTTCTTCAAATGCTTATTCATAACATTTTTATGTAATCTTAATAGGTAAATTCTCTGAGGAGCATAAATGAACCTCATAAATTCATAGCCGAAAATTTCTCTAAGTGTAGCTTATTTTCAAATATTCTTATTGTAATAATGCTTGGTGGTCACGAAGATCTGTCTGAGCAAACCAGAAATCTGTAATGGAGGAAAAAAATGACTAACAACAGGCCTGCTCCAGCCCCCAGATTGTGGCAGGAGTAGTTAACTTACTTAAGCTCTTTGTTTTCATTTTCTTCATCTTAAAACAGAAGTAATAACCTTTTTTGGGGGGGGGTATGGAGTAATAACTTTCTTATAGAGCTGATGTAAGGTTTAAAGGAGATCACATACGTAATGTGCACCAAGCACATACTAAAACATCGCATTTTGGCTATGAATATCGTTACTGTGGCCGTGGCCAGAAGGAGGTAAGAAGAGGAGCTTTCACAGATGTCTCAAAGATGCAGACAGTCTCAAAGATGCAACAGCCCGTGAAGAGAGAGGATCTGTCAAAATGTGGAGATCTTCTACATTGCACTTGAGCTATTTCGAAAAGGTGGGAAGAGTATGGTCAAAAGCTCCTTGTCTTGGTAGGTGCCACAGAGCCAGAGCCTGTGAAAGAGAGGATGAGATAGGGGGTGTGTTTGAGGTTGAGGTGGGTAGGACTGAGGCAGCAGGGAAGTAAGTGGCTCTGAAGAGTAGGGGAGGATTGAGAAATAAGAAAACCAGGAGGTTTGCTGCCACATGTATGTAATATGACTCGTGTCTTCTATTTTCCCTGCTAAGGAATTGATTTAAAATCTGCTCGGATATTGATGATTACATTCCGCCATGTTACATACCCTGACACACAACCATGTTTAAATCATATCGGAAACTTAAACATTGGACAGCTTTCTATCGGGGCAGAATCTGAATTAAAGAGCTGATGTCCCGTCTCCTAGTGGAGGTAGAAGGCTGGGCTAATACCTGTCACTAGCACTTACAGAGGTGTGAATTTGGTAAATCATTTCATCTCTGAAGTGGTTTCAGCATTTGTGAAAAGAGGCAACTATTTGCCTAACACAATGTTGAGTTCAAGGTTATTCATAGCTCCTGCCAAATAGATGCATTTGCTATTTTGTGTTAATGGAAAAGGATTTAAAAATTATGATATATTTAAACACGGTGCTACCAAATGTGCTTAAATATGCATTCAAACTGTATTCTTTTAATGAACTTTAATATTCTCAACTAGTATCAATGCTTTGTTATTATTAAGTATTGACTTCAATATTTCCCACCCCTCACCGCAACTCCTAGCACACACGCACTCGAAATGCTCTAAAATGGTATTTATTGAGCGCATGTGACTAACACCACAGCCACCTAAGCCCTGACTTGCCGGACACGAACGGACAATTAATTGGAATGATTGTAACAGCGTTTCTGTAAACAGTGCTTCCTGGCGGCTTGCCCCGCGTCTAGCGCTGCACAGTCAGGAGTTAACCACTCCTACGACACCGGCCGCCACACGGTGAGAAGCCCGGGAAAGACGCGCCACGCTCCCATGTGATAGTTTCACTTGTCTTTTTGGTTAGTTCTGCTACCCTAGTTCACGTCCCCGCGAGAGGAAACGTATTCCACCTCACATTAGACAGAAGAGCCTCGATTCACCGTGGAGCCTGACAGAAGGGCACTCCAGCGACTGAGCTGCTCGGACTTGGCACAGGCAGGGTCCAGCCTACTCGCTGCCGGCGCGGCGTCTCAGCAACACCCCCTCCCCCGGAAGTTTGTGCGTCTCAGATGTAAGGTCTGGGAGTCACCTTGACACTTCCCGGAGCGGTGGGGAAAGTTAGCCTGAGCCCGAGGGAGCGTGAGTGAAACCAAAGAGCACTTTCGCGAGTCAGCTACGCCGTCACGTTTTTCTGGTTTCAGGGTAGCTGAAGACCTAGACAGTTTAAGGGCGACCAGAGCAGGTGGCAGGACTCCGCCCACCACCACGCTTCCCCTCCTTCAGCTCGCACGCTTCACTCCCTTCTTGGGGTCCCGCCTCTCGGGCGCGCGCGAAGAGTTGTCGCGCGATGCATCCTGGGAATTGTAGTCCCAACGCAGGGAGTCGCCTCAGGAGAAACGACTCTGGCCTACACACCCCACAGTGCCTTGCGGCGCTGGCCGCTCCCGGATGTGTGCCTGGCGCCGGAAGAGAAGACGGCCCCCCTCTCTCGGCCCGGCCATCTTGTGGGAAGAGCTGAAGCAGGCGCTCTTGGCTCGGCGCGGCCCGCTGCAATCCGTGGAGGAACGCGCCGCCGAGCCACCATCATGCCTGGGCACTTACAGGAAGGCTTCGGCTGCGTGGTCACCAACCGATTCGACCAGTTATTTGACGACGAATCGGACCCCTTCGAGGTGCTGAAGGCAGCGGAGAACAAGAAAAAAGAAGCCGGCGGGGGCGGCGTTGGGGGCCCCGGGGCCAAGAGCGCAGCACAGGCCGCGGCCCAGACCAACTCTAACGCGGCAGGCAAACAGCTGCGCAAGGAGTCCCAGAAAGACCGCAAGAACCCGCTGCCCCCCAGCGTTGGCGTGGTTGACAAGAAAGAGGAGACGCAGCCGCCCGTGGCGCTTAAGAAAGAAGGTAAAGCAGGGGCAGAATGTGGGGGAGACTGGGATGGAGGGAAGGAGCGAGAGGGCTGCCGGCTGCCACTTGTTTCTGGAGCTCCGGGGGTCCGCGGGAGACTTTGCCGCCTATTTCCTCACGTTTCTTCACGCGACAAAAGCCAGGTCCTGCGAAGGTGCCAGGAGCGTGGTAGCCCCAAGTTCAAGCCACCGCCGGCGAGGCTCTCGGAGCCACCCCCTTCCCGCCTTAGGTTGTGAGCAGAGGAGCGTGGTCGGAGATGAGCTGCTCTTCGAGCGCGCTCGGGGTCCTGGGAGGCTGTTGCCTTCCCGCCGGATTCCTTGGCGGGCGAGCGCATGGACTGAGGTGCGGGGAAGCCGGCCGCTCACCGACGCTTGCCGTAGTTACGGAGGGGCTCGGGGTCCATCGCTGCTTACTGCGCAGAGCTGCTCCTTTGAGGTGCTGTTGTTTCAGGCTCCTGTCCTGCCATCTTGTCCCACGACGGCGCGGAGTATCCCCGCCGAAAAGCAGGGGGTCGTTCCAGGCCATCGGACGTGTGGAGTCAGCCGCAGGTTGGGGTGCCGCGTGTGCTTTATTGTTTCTCCTCCACCTCTCAACTGTTAGGACTTTCTCAGAACTTGCTGGGGTGAGTTAAGCTGTTGGGAAATGGAGGAGTTTGGCCACACTCGACTAAGCAGAAGCGGGAATTATGAATGAAGACTGGTGATCGCAGGACGTCCCGAGGAAAGTTCTCGAGTCACGATCCTCTCTCTCGACTCCCCAAATTGAGTCTTTCACATGGTGGAGTCTGGGCCTCGTGGGTAAAGTGAGTGCAGAGGCTGTCACAGCGTTAGTCGCAGCAGAGCTCTTTAGAGTCTGCAGCTTTTTTTTTCCCCCTCCACATGTGCGTGAAGCATGGTCAGAGTTTCACTGGCGGTTGATAGTTGCTTCCAGGGCACTGTGAGTTTCACAGGATTGTCTTGATTTTTGCATTCTCATTACCAGTTTGTTACGGATGAAAAAGAGCAAGTAGTTCGAAGATAAGAACGTGCATGATCAATAGCAAGCAGGTGTCGGACCTAAGGTCTGAATCTTTAAAGCTGTATTTATATGTTGAAAGTTGAAATTACCCCTTCCTGCCACGTGCTTCTCTGAAAGGAGTTCTCATTAGCTTTTGTTGACTTCTGTGACATTCAACTAATTTTGAAAATCAAAACAATTTCCTCGTGGTGGGATTTGTTTTAGGAGGTTTATTTTTTTGTGTGTGTGTTTTTTTTTTTTTTGAGGACTTTTATGAGGCTTAGAATGAAGAACCTCGGTCCTAGGTGGTGAATGAAAGAAAATAATTCTTGTGGTAAAATTATAGGTTGAGGAGAAACACAGTTGGAGTATTAGAAAGCATGTACATCACTTAGGCCAAGTATCTCTTCAGCCAATTAGGCTTTATGGCACTCTAACACACCTAAATAAATCATTTAATTCGTGTGTTAAGTAACGCTGACTTGTGTAATTATTTAAACTATGCTTAAGCTTAAGAAAGTAAACAAAAAAGTTGAGTCTTTTTTGTGTGTACGAATAATGTGTACCAGGTAGATGTGTTCACTCATTTGGAATGTTCAAAACATGAAGCATGTTTAAATGCCTGAGTTATTTTGATCATGAAGCCCATCTAAGAAATAAGCTCTTACCTGAAAAGTATTTTAAGTTACAAATGTGGGGAATGATTTCATGAAGTTAGAACTAAGACTTAAGTTCACCATTCAATAAGTCTTTCCATGGGAAAACTATTCCATATTAGCAATCAACATTTTCCTTAGGTCAGTATTTCAGAGCACTCTTATTAAGTTGCATAAAATACAAGCATGTAAATACAGGAAAAGTGTTGAATGGACAATACCCGTTTTGAGATTCTACTGTCCTATTTACTGGGAATATATCTGTAAACAAAATCCCTGCAGATAGTAGGAAGGTTAACCTGATTGTGTTCTGTGGTTTTGACAACACATTGTGACATAATGCTTGACATACTTTAGACAGATATTTAATGTTTATATTTTATGAATTAATTTTGTAGCTTCTCTTGCCCATTTGAAGAACTTTAGAATTGATAGCAGAATGTCATTGAGAGTGTAGACCAGGGATTTTCTAAAACAGAATGGATGCCTGAAACTAGTGCAGTTAATGAGCTTGCAGGTTATACATAAGCATATCAAAAGAAGCTTGCATTTTTAAATGTCAGTCTTTTTCATTAGGTGAGTTTAATCTAAGTTTCTAAGATTCTGTAAGCTTAATATTGATATTGGGTGGGGACGCCAACTATTGTTCACTTGGGTGTGTGTGGCTTGAATATTATTGCAAGGACTGGCTCCTTAACTCCACCCCAGTACACTTTATTACTGATGACATTTATTTAAATACCTTGGTGTAAGGTCTAACATTTGTAGTCTGTCTTGTATTTGCAGGGAATGAACTTCAAAATTCTATTGAAGAGACTGATAGTTACTGTTTGGCTCCAGTTACAGGCAATTGAACAGTTGGGTGTGTCCTGATGGTGTTCTACTTTCTTAGAACCAAAGTGAAGCAGCTTAAAATCTTGTAAAACCAATTCCTCAGCTGCTGTATGACTTTGTCAGAAATTGGGAATTAGAGCATACCAACAATCTTAAAGTCATTAATTTAATCATCCATCTATTGATCCTTAAGGGCACCAGTAATTTAAATTGGTTGCCTTTGTGGGGTTTCAAACATTACAGGAAAAGCAGTAAAGGGGGAAATTAGTAAATGCTTCAGCTATCACTTAGTGTCACAAGTTTCTTATTTCTTACATACTGCTTAAAAGGGGTCTTATGTGTGTGGATTTGGTTTTTAAAGATTATTTGACAATAAAGATAGTTGTTAGGGCAAATTTTTTAGAGGACTGTCTCCATGCCTAATAAGTAACTGTTTCCTAACTTGGAAGTACTTAGAGATGTGGGAGTGTGTACAAACATATATACACTTACATGCTATAAATTTTTAAACTGTTTAATAGGGGAAGATGGCCCTTTTTGTGTGCCTGCAGTTAAGGAGACTAAAAGATGACACTTTCTGGTTAAATGGCTGTTTTAAACTGAGGTGATGTTCTCTAATAATCCTAAATGCCATATTTTCCTTTCAGATTTGTGATTCCATAGAATTATGGGTCTTAATTGCTTTTTTGTTTTTTCAGATTAGATAGGATAACAAAGTGTGGCCCTCACTTTTGTGAGGGGCCATATCTAGTGAGTGTGTTGATTTGCCTGGTTATTATGAATGGCTGCTGGTATTTTCTTTGGTATTTTAAAAGCCAAAATGTATCACTTGCCTAACATTTTTTAAATTTAAAACTTTTTATTAAGAGACTGATATCTTGAAAAGTGACGGGAATAATGGTTGCCCAAATGATTTCCAAGTCAGTTATAGAAAATGCTTATGAGGGGGAGAATAACTTGGCAAACTAAATAGAAGTTTAAAACAAGTTTATTGTCTGTATTTTATTTATTTATGTATTTGGTCCGTGGTATGGATTGGAAGGTTTATTGTCTTTAAATGGCAGTTTCCCTAAGGTACTTTGTTACACATTAGAGTTGCCCAGTGTTTACTTTTTTCCAACAGGAAATGGTAGTGGATTGGAAGAGAAGCAGCTTTTGACAGTCCAGGCCTAAACTTTTTGTATTGCAAAAATAGTTTGCTTATGCAGGTTATCTATCCTTTTAGGAATAAGACGAGTTGGAAGAAGACCTGATCAACAACTTCAGGGTGAAGGGAAAATAATTGATAGAAGACCAGAAAGGCGACCACCTCGTGAACGAAGATTCGAAAAGCCAATTGAAGAAAAGGGTGAAGGAGGCGAATTTTCAGTTGATCGGTAAGTTGTTTTTTTTTGTTTTTGAGCCAGGATCTTGGTCTAACTCCTAGGCTTGGAGCGCAGTGATGCAAGCGTAGCTCACTACAGTCTCTGCTTCCTGGGCTCAAGCAATCCTCTCATCTCAACCTCCTCCTGAATAGCTCGGACTACAAGATCACACCACCACACTCTGCTAATTTTTTTGTAGAGCTGAGGTCTCACTATCTATATTGCATGGGTGGGTCTTGAGCTCCTGTGCTCAAGCTATCCTCCTGCAATATTGGGATTACAGGCGTGAACCAAAAAAGTCTTCATATTTTGTTACTTTATAGAGTCACTGCTTAATGTTAAGCTATAAATTGGGAATAATTGCCAGGTAGCAGTCTGGCTAATTGTTTCTATTAGTTTTTGACAGAAACATCTGTATGTGTGCATTGTTATGTTTTAGACCTTTGGTGATGGTTCAAACTTAGGTCTCTTGTAATGGAAGCACTTTATTGAATTGATAACCACTTTTTTTTTCTTGCTGTCTCCCGATACAGAGTTAGAAGGAAAATACTGTTGGTTTACTAAATGTGTTTAATTTTTAAGTGTATTGGTAAATAGTGATGGACTGGATTATGTGTGCAATGAATAACAGTGGAAAAGTATATGCATTGGTAGTAATGTTTTAGAGTGCTAAAATAGTTTTCTTGTTCTGGGAGGCTTTCTTGTTCTGGCTTCCTTTATGTTTAGAAATAGACTATTTTGAATTTTCTGAAGCATGTGTATTTATTGGTTTTTGAGCTGGTAAACATGTTCTGTATTTTTGGGTTTTTGGATGGATTTTCCTCATTCTGGAAACCATGGAAGTATAATTTGTTTATATTATAGACCGATTATTGACCGACCTATTCGAGGTCGTGGTGGTCTTGGAAGAGGTCGAGGGGGCCGTGGACGTGGAATGGGCCGAGGAGATGGATTTGATTCTCGTGGCAAACGTGAATTTGATAGGCATAGTGGAAGTGATAGATCGTAAGTCTTACTGGTTTTTAGTTTATTTTAATATTTTAATCTAATAAACAAACTTTGAATTTCTAGAACTAAAGAGTATTATGTTAACTCAGTTTTGTTAGTTCTTTTTCACATTACAGTGGCCTGAAGCACGAGGACAAACGTGGAGGTAGCGGATCTCACAACTGGGGAACTGTCAAAGACGAATTAACGTTGGTATTCTGATTTTTTAAAAAATTCTGTACCTAACTAGGGGTTAATCCATACCTCTGTCAAATTTTACTTGTCTCTGAGATAATGAATGCTCTCCTCTGAGAGCTACTGTAAGATAATGTCCTATGGGATGAATTTGGGTTGTAGTGTATTGAATGACTGGTTTTCCTGTACTTCAATATATTTGTTACTCATTTTTCCCCCATATATATTTGTAGCTTTTCCTGAAACCCCACAATAAGGTTATTTGGGTATTCTGATTATCTTAGTGTCCTTAATAGTTCCTATTCTAGTTTTTGACTTTGTTGTCATTACAAAATTTGTTAAACTAGTAAAGCTTGGTTTTATAATTAGCTGCCTTGTTCTGTTACTTTTTAAGTATGAAATATATGAACTAAATAGTTTATATTATTTCCTTTTCAAGGTCTTCTGGGGAGTATATTTAGTAGGAAAGGAGTTAGAGCATGTGAGGGCTTACGGTATTTTTGTATGAAGAACTCTTCAGCTACATGTAAATGGACCTAGATGCCTTTCTTTTTCTTTCTTTCCTTAGAGAGTCCCCCAAATACATTCAGAAACAAATATCTTATAATTACAGTGACTTGGATCAATCAAATGTGACTGAGGAAACACCTGAAGGTGAAGAACATCATCCAGTGGCAGACACTGAAAATAAGTAAGTGGTTTTGCGTGTAATAGTAATGACCCAGAATTGAAAGCACTGGATTTTGACCAATGAGATAACCCATAGATTTAATGCTGTTGCTTGATGGCTTTTTGTTTTTGACAAGGGAGACGTATTGTACCCTCATCCCTCAAAGAGTATTTAAAGAATGCTTTTTTTTTTTTTTTTTCTTTTTTTGGTAAGAGACAGGGTCTCACTATATTGCCTAGGCAGGTCTGGAATTCCTGGGCTCAAGCGTTCCTCCTGCCTTGGCCTTCCAAAGTGCTGGGATTACAGGCATGAGCCGCTGCACCCAGCCCTTAAAAGAGTGCTTTATGTGTATATATTTGACTCTAATGCTTTGAAAAATACAATATTTTAATGTGGTTATTTCTGTTTGATTAGTCATTTTACCATTGTCATACAACCGTACAAATTTTACTTTGAGATAGTTAAAGTAGAAAATGTGGCCATTTTAAGATTAGTTCTGTCTTGAAGTTACTTCCAACGTAGAATTTGGAACATAGCATTACTGGCCTGTTTTTAAATGTGTGAAGAGAGCAAAGATCAGAGTATGTTATTCACGAGCATTTTTTTCTTTTTTGAGACCAGGTCTCATTCTGTTGCCCAGGCTGGAATGCAGTGGAGTGATCTTGGCTCACTGCACCCTCCGCTTCCTGGGCTCAAACAATCCTTCCGCCTCAGCCACCTGAGTAGCTGGGACTACAGGTGCCTGCCACCAGGCCTGGCTAATTTTTGTATTTTTAGTAGAGGAGAGTTTCACCATTTTGCCCAGGCTGGTCTTCAACTCGTGAGTTCAGGCAAGCCACCCACCTTGGCCTGCCAAAGTGCTGGGATTACAGGCGTGAGCCACCTTGCCCAGCCCTTCACTAAATTTTTTTTTTAAATGCCTGGCTAATAGTCTATATTTTTTAGTAGAGAGGGGTTTCACTGTCTTGGCCAACTGGACAGGCTGGTCTTGAACTCTTGACCTCAAGTGATCTGCCCTCCTCGGCCTCCCAGAGTGCTGGGATTACAGGAGTGAGCCACCACATCTGGCCCTTCATTAGCTTTTAAAATTACGTGGTTTTGTTTTGTTTTGTTTTTTTCTTTTTCGAGACAGTCTCACTCTGTCACCCAGGCTGAAGTGCAGTGGCGTTATCTCGGCTCACTGCAACCTCTGCCTCCTGGGTTCAAGCGATTCTTCTACCTCAGTCTTCCGAGTAACTGGGATTACAGGCGTGCATCACCACACCTGGCTAATTTTTTATATTTCTAGTAGAGACGGTTTCACCATAATGGCCAGGCTGGTCTCGAATTCCTGATTAGAGTGCTGGGATTATGGGCGTGCGCCACGGCGCCTGGCCTAAAATTATGTTTATTTTGTCAGTTATTTGTTATTGTGGTTTAAAGTCTTGGATTACAGGTTGTTTAGGACAGTGATTCCTAACCAGAAGCATATTCAAGTTAGTTTGGGGGTGGGAGGGGCAGATGCTTTCTAAACTTGCTCTTTTTTTTTTTTTTTTTTTTTTGAGACGGAGTTTCACTTGTTGCCCAGGCTGGAGAGCAATGGCGTGATCTCGGCTCACTGCATCCTCTGCCTCCTGGGTTCAAGTGATTCTCCTGCCTCAGCTCCTGAGTAGCTGGGATTACAGGCATGTGCCACTATGCCCGGCTAATTTTGTATTTTTAGTAGAGATGGGATTTCTCCATGTTGGTCAGGCTGATCTCCAACTCCCGACCTCAGGTGATCCGCACACCTCAGCATCCCAAGGTGCTGGGATTACAGGCGTGAGTCACTGCGCCTGGCCTTGAATTTTTTCTTTTCTTCAGGAAGAATTGCTCTTATGGTGAAACACTGTTAATGTTGGGAGTATCATATTCCATGGATTTGTTGGGATAAGGAAAAATGATATACTATTGGAGGGAGTAGATAAAAGTACCTAGTATTGGGTGATGTTTTGAACTTGGTAGTAAAAATTTATGCAAAACTATAATGGAATCATACTTTTGCCTGATAAACAATGAAATTGTGATTGGTGCCTTAACAAATGAACCCTATGCAACATTAAGTTTCTCACAGTGGTCAACATTTTTGTTAGTTTGTTTCTTTGAGACACAGTCTCCTGTCTCCCATGCTAGAGTGCAGTGGTGCGATTTTGGCTATTCTGAGGTTCAGGCGATTCCCCTGCCTCAGTCTCCCGATTACCTGGGACAATAGGTATGCTCCAGCATGCCCGGCTAATTTTTGTATTTTCAATAGAGACACGGTTACACCATGTGGGCCAGGCTGATCTTGAACTCCTGGCCTCAAGTGATCCTCCCGCCTTGGCCTCCCAAAATGCTGGGATTACAGGTGTGAGCCACGGCGTCCAACCACAACTGTTTAATAGAGCCCATGTTGAATCACTCAGAGTGATCTGCAAATATTATAATTTTACCAAAAGGTACTAATGTGCTGATAGCGTATCGGTAGCAAATCCTTAGCTGAGTACCCAGGAATGAAATTGAAGGTGTTTGGTTTAAAGAAAATAATTATCCATCACATTAGAACTGTCTCTAATCTTACTCCAGAGTAGGGAAGAATCTGGGCATAGCATATGGAAGTATAAATTTAAGAAACACAACATTGGCTGACTGATTAACTAGCTTATATATAGCTTCCAGAGCTTCTGTTTGGTTTTTATTTAATCTTTGCAGTAATTCCTGAAAGGTGGGTGTCATGCCTCCATGATATGATAAAAGGTATGCTAAGTTATATTCCTGGCTGTGTTATAACATGGGTAACCAGGACTTTTTTTATATTCTTGGATTTCTCATCTGTAAAATGACTGGGTGGACTCAGTACCCAATTCAGTGTAAACTTGCTCTAGAGTTGTTTTTTGTTTTTTGCAGCATAGATATAACTGGAGGAAGTTTTAAGATAGGATTTGTCAAATGGTAAAGGGCAGCATCCAGGGAGATATTTGAGCTCTAAAGCTAACTGAATCACCTGCTATCTTTGGAAAGAAGGGCTCCCCAAATAGCAAATGACTTGTTTGATGACAATTGCAAATTGAGATTATACTAAAATAATGGATCCTTAGGCCAGTGCTTTGTTTCTGTAAAAAGAGGAAAGGATCGTATTCAATAGTTATAGACTGGAGAATTATATTTAGAAATAAATGGTTTAGTGTTAAATAATGAAACCAGTGTGTGTTTGTGGATAGTTCTATTAGCAGTGAATCCTTGGCCTCCTTTCCATATACAGGTTGGTTTGAAAATTGGAGTATAAGGATTTTAGGATTTGTAGAAACATGGCTATTGTTTTTATTTGCTATAAGTGCTAGTTGCCGAAATAAAGCATAGAGGAACAGTTCTTTTATGTTCCAAAATTTGAACCCTGGTTGCTAACAGACATCCTTCTGTCAAGAGGATTACCTTCTTGTGTGTTATTAAGAATTAATGTATTTTGGGAATTATGGAAATTAAAAATGTGGTTTAAAAGAAGATAGGCTGAGGATTTTACCTAAGAAGGTAGTTTTTAAACAAGGTACTGTTTGGTTTTTTATTTTTTGATACGGAGTCTCGCTCGTAGCCCAGGATGGAGTGCAGTGGTGTGATCTTGGCTCGCGAGCTCCGCCTCCCGGGTTCACGCCATTCTCCTGCCTCAGCCTCTGGAGTAGCTGGGACTATAGATGCCCACCACCACGCCTGGCTAATTTTTTGTATTTTTGGTAGAGACGGGGTTTCACTGTGTTAGCCAGGATGGTCTCGATCTCCTGATCTCGTGATCTGCCCGCCTCGGCCTCCCAAAGTGCTGGGATTACAGGCATGAGCCACCGTGCCCAGCTGGTACTGTTTTTAAGAAATGTATATTTTAGTATTGGTAAAGCCTGTTCTAGGTTGTATTACTGATAAATGATCATTTAAGAGTTCATGAGGATGAATTCTATATCCCTTACTTGTATATAGTCAGCAAACACTGAATTCCTGGTCTCTACCAAGTTGCTTAGTTACACAGGAAACTAGGATACCCTCATCCTTGGATAATCTTTCTCTAAAAGATTACAAGGTTCACTTTCTTAATTAAAATCCTAAATTTGAAATACTTTGATGTAAATTATATCAGCTCTCTACCAGGTATAAAACTTGAAAACCTTTTCACAGGGAGAATGAAGTTGAAGAGGTAAAAGAGGAGGGTCCAAAAGAGATGACTTTGGATGAGTGGAAGGCTATTCAAAATAAGGACCGGGCAAAAGTAGAATTTAATATCCGAAAACCAAATGAAGGTGCTGATGGGCAGTGGAAGAAGGGATTTGTTCTTCATAAATCAAAGAGTGAAGAGGTAAAATTAAGTTTTGTCGTGTTTGAAAATGTTCAGATGTGACTTGAATTGTATTTATAATTTTTGTTTTAAAATTTCACATGGGTGATTTGTCTATAAAAAAAGCTTTACATAGGATCATTTGGGGCAGATAATTTGCTTTATAAGGAAAATAAACTGTATTACATATTCTAAGAAAGTCCTTCGATCAGTTTATAATTATGTTTTATGTGGTAGAGATGCTTTTTCCTAAAAAGCTGTTAGTGGTGTATTGTGTAATTATTAGTGTTCAGAAATATGATAGTTCTTTTCAAAGTTGTGATTGTATTTTTGAAATCTTGCCAAACTGGAGATCATTAAAGGACTTTGGTATTATGGTGTTAGGTTGAAATCTTGACATTTTCATATAACCTAAAATGTAAGTGACTTCTTTTGGAATTCAACTTTTGAAACTGTCTGCCTATATCATATGTAATGGCCAGGACACTCAGTAAATGGTAATATGCATCTTGTCTAAGGAATGATGGCTTTAAAAACCAAAGAATATGTGGGTTTTACTTAAGAAACATGGAAACTAGTGAAAATACAGTTGACTTGTTGAACAATGTGAGGTTGCTAGGGGCACTGACCCTGCAGATCAGTGCACATGTAACCTTTGACTCTGCCGAAACTTAACTACTAATAACCTGTTGACTGAAAGTCTTATTGATAACATAACCAGTTAACGCATTTTGTATGTTGCATATTATATACTGTATTTTTATAGTAAAGTAAGTTAAAATGTTGAGAAAATATATTTACTGTTCATTAAGTGGAACTGGATCGTCACAAAGGTCTTTATTTTGGATAGGAAGAAGAGGGGTTGGGCTTGTTTCAAGGCTGACAGAGGCAGAATGTTCAAACCCAAGTTGTTCAAGGGTCAGCTGTATTGGAAAAAGTCACATTGATGGCTTTTGAATTGGTAGCTTCCGTTTAAGCTTTGGGGTGTGTTCTTAGAGGAATATTTCAGTGCCGCTCCCTGTTAGGGCTTGTATAAGTTTTTAAAGCCAAACTGTATTATTTCTTCTCCTAAATTTTTTTTCTCTATCAGCTTCCTTTAACCTTTTGACATTTGTGTTTGATTTATTCATATCATAAATTGGGCTGTGCCAGAAATCCAGACTGCAAGTTTTATCATCCTAAGGTAAAGTTAAATTAAAATATTGTGAGGGCAAACCCATTTAATAAGGTATTAGTTATTTTTTTTTTTTTTGAGACACAGTCTGACTCTTTCGCCCAGGCTGGAATGCAGTGGTACCATCTCTGCTCACCGCAACCTCCCGCCTCTCGAATTCAAACAATTCTTGTGTCTCAACCTCCCCAGTAGCTGGGATTATGGACATTCGCCACCACGCCCGGGTAATGTTTGTATTTTTAGTAGAGATGAGGTTTCACCATGCTGGCCAGGCTGGTTTCAAACTCCTGGCCTCAAGTGATCCACCTGTCTCAGCCTCCCAAAGTGCTGGGATTATAGGCGTGTGCCACCATGCCCAGCCAATACGCTTAATTTTTTAAACTGCAAAATGGCTATAAGACAAACTTGGAAACATTGTAAAATAAAATGGAGGTTAAAAAGATTTAAAGTTTTTTTTAGGTTTAGAGATGATTTTTAACATTTACTCCATATGAATAGCAAATGAGGAAATTATCTTTTTTTAAGTCCTGTAGAAAAAAAACTGCATTAGAACACTTGGTTTTGGCCAGGCTCAGTGACTCACACCTGTAATCCCAGCACTTTGGGAGACTGAGGTGGGCAGATCACCTGAGGTCGGGATTTCAAGACCAGTCTGACCGACATGGAGAAACCCCATCTCTACTAAAGATACAAAATTAGCCAGGTGTGGTGGCGCATGCCTGTAATCCCAGCTACTCAGGAGGCTGAGGCAAGAGAATCACTTGAACACAGGAGGCGGAGGTTGCAGTGAGCTGAGGTTACACCACTGCACTCCAGCCTGGGCAACAGAGCAAGACTCTTTCTCAAAAGAATTTTTAAAAAAAGCTCTTTAACTTGTACATGTCTTCATTCTCATGACAAATGTGAGGTAGTTAAGAGGAAGGAAGAAACTTTACAAATGGAGAACTGTGTTACCACGTTATTGACAGAGCTCAGAGTTTCTGTTTTCTGCTGCTCATTCTCTGAGCTCTCTAGAAAGAAGGAGGCTGGGCACAGTGGCTTACACCTGTAATCCCAGCACTTTGGGAGGCTGAGGCGAGCAGATATTTGAGTTGAAAGTTTGAGACCAGCCTGGGCAGCATGGCAAAACCCTGTTTCTACAAAAACTATAAAAATTATCTGGATGTGGTTGCATGCACCTGTGGTCTCAGCTACCTAGGAGGCTGAGGCAGGAGAGGATCACTTGAGCCCAGGAAGCAGAGGTTGGGGTGAGCCAAGATTGCATCACTGCATTCCAGTCTAGTTGACAGAGCAAGACTGTCTCAAAAGAGAATAAAAGGTTCCCCCCAACCCCCTGCCCCAAATTTATCCCAGTACAGTTTCTTGGTATCTGCAGGGGATTCGCTCCAGGACCCAGACATACTAAAATTTTCAGATGCTCAAGTCCATTATATAAAATGGCATGGTATCTGCATATAGCCTAAACACATTTTCCCAAATACTTTATTTTTTATTGTTTCTATTTTTTAAATTAAAAAATAGAACAATTTACAGTTTTGCTTGTCATCCTTGTGGGGATCATGCTAATAATCTTTGCATCATTCCACTTTTAATATATGTGCTGCCAAAGTGAGCACTCCCCCATACACTTTATTTTGAGACAAGGTCTTGGTCTGTCATGTAGGCTGGAATGCAGTAGCATGGTCACAGCTTACTGCAGCCTCAACCTCCATGTGCTCAAGCGATCCTTCTAGCTCAGCCTCCTGAGTAGCTGGAACTACATGCCTGTGCCAGCTCCTGGACTCAGGCAGCCCTCCTGCCTGTGCCTTCCAGAGTGTGGGATTACAAGTTTCAGCCACTGCCCTTGGCCTTACTTTTTATTGTTATATGGTTGGTTGGTTTTATTTTTTTCTGAATATTTTTGATAGGTGGTTTGCAATTAATTGAAAGCATTGGTTTGAAAGAGCAAACATTTAAAAATCACACAATTAGTATATATAATTCATCTTAATTTGCTGGTGTTTTTGTGAATTTGTTTTTATGTTTCTAGGCTCCTTTAAAATTCGTATTAGAGCCTTCTATTGCCTTACATTGTGTTAGTGTGGGTACAAAGGATTGACCTTTAATGCTAGTATGAGTTGATGTAAGGGATGAAAACACAAAAATTTATTTGTACTTTAAAGGCTAGTTATTAACAGTTGTAATATTTTAAGTTGAATCTAATGGAATTGTAATAGTACAAGTTCTAATGAAAGAAGAAAATGTTCTTTATTCCTTTAGAAAAGAGGATTTCTTACACGTATTTAGAAAAAGAAAGCTGTACTTTAAAGTCCCATAGGCACAGTTTTCAACTGGAAGATTAAAACCCATCCCAAGCATGGAAGAAGACATCAGGCATGGAGCAGTGTAGAACTGTCTGGCTTTTTGCTTTTTTCCTCCCAGACTGGGTCATGTATCTTAAACACAAATAGAAAGGATCTGGATTTCACAAACATGACTTCATTTTTAAGAAGTTTCTAGCTGGGCGTGGTGGCTCATGCCGGTAGTCCTAGCACTTTGGAGGGCCAACACCAGCGGATCACTTGAGCCCAGGAGTTTGAGACCAGCCTGAGCAACACTGCGAAAACCTGTCTATAAAAAAATACAAAAAAATTAGCCAGACATCGTGGCATGTGCCTGTAGTCCCAGCTACTTGGGAGGCTGAGGTGGGAGGATCACTTGAGCCTGGGAGGTGGAGGTTGCAATGAACCCAGATTGCGCCACTGCACTCCAGCCTGGTGACATAGTGAGACCCTGTCTCAAAAAAAAAAAAAAAAAAAAAAAAAAGATTCCTGTGACACATTTAAGCTGTGGATTTATTTGTGCATAGCTTTAAAAGATTCCCCTTATGTAAAGTGTGTAGTGTTTCACTTGAATTTGTAGCTCTCCATATTTGTGTGGAAAAACATAATGGTTGTATATTAACAGAAGATGCTTCTGAAAAGTTTGTATGGAATAAGGTCATTACCCTAGTTATAGTTGAAAGAGTGTAGAACAGAGGTTTTCTTTTTAACTTGCGTGTTCTTTTTAACTTCAATGATAGTAGTAGCCTTATATGTCACCTCTCCAGAGGTCTTCATCAAGGATTCACATTGGAGTCCTGATCTGAAGGGCATATTTAAAATGTACTTGTCCAGATTTCACTGCTAAAGATTATGATTCAGTAGGTCTGGGATGGGCCACAATCATTTGGGTTGATTGTGATAGCATATATGTCTTTAGTTGAGGACCGCTGATATTACCTGCAATTTTGAGATAGAGAAAAGTGAAGGAAATTATTCCTCCAAGATCACTATAGCTGAGTCCTAGCTTGTTACCTGTGGAGACATTGAGACATTTGTTCACAGAAAGTACAGTTTGGATTTTTGGTCTTTTTAGAAGAAAGCTCATTATTTAGAAATTTTGCGACGTTACTTTTCTACTAATAACCCAGTCATCTTCACTTATGTTTTTAGGCTCATGCTGAAGATTCGGTTATGGACCATCATTTCCGGAAGCCAGCAAATGATATAACGTCTCAGCTGGAGATCAATTTTGGAGACCTTGGCCGCCCAGGACGTGGTGGCAGGGGAGGACGAGGTGGACGTGGGCGTGGTGGGCGCCCAAACCGTGGCAGCAGGACCGACAAGGTAATTTAAGACTTTGTTTTCCTTTTATGTAATTTAAGGACCTCTTAGAAGTCACTGGCTGGGTCCTTCTGGGAACATAAGAAGTAGAAGTAGTAGCAGTGTCTTTAAGAAACCACGTGTTGGCCGGGCGCGGTGGCTCAAGCCTGTAATCCCAGCACTTTGGGAGGCTGAGACGGGCGGATCACGAGGTCAGGAGATTGAGACCATCCTGGCTAACACGGTGAAACCCCGTCTCTACTGAAAAATACAAAAAACTAGCCGGGCGAGGTGGCGGGCGTCTGTAGTCCTAGCTACTCGGGAGGCTGAGGCAGGAGAATGGCGTAAACCCGGGAGGCGGAGCTTGCAGTGAGCTGAGATCTGGCCACTGCATTCCAGCCTGGGCGACACCACGAGACTCCGTCTCAAAAAGAAAAAAAAAGAAACCACGTGTTAGGTTATATTTTTGTTTAAAACACTTAAATGCCTTTTTTTATAGTGCTGTAAGTAGTGTTAAGTTACCACCTTTTGAATTCTTACTAGGTGCTGGTCATGGTGCTGGGCTAGGCATTTTATGTACTTAATGTCATTTAATTCTTGTTAACTATGATGACATTCTCATTTTCCAGACAAGAAAATCTGGTGTAGTGAATCAGGTTAACTCTTGACCTTTGCTAAGGCTTACCTGAAAAGCAATCTGTTCGCTTTGATAATTCCTAACTGCTTTTTAAGTCTCCTCTTAATAACCATTGTGTTCCTTGTATAATTCCTCTTGTGACACTCATGATTGTTGATGCTTTTTTCTTTTACTAGACTCTTCTGAGAGAGCTGGGATTCATTTTTGTCTTACTTTACTTTCTATAATCCCTCCGATGCCTTGAACAGTATATGGCACAAAACAAGTTCTTAGAGAAATATTTTGATGAATCCCAAGTAATTGATAGATATGAACTCAGATCTGATGCTTGGAAACAACCATAATGTCCTCCTAAATTCTCAACATCCTACAAATTTGGGGACCCACCTGCTTGATTGAGTCTATTTTTGATTATTATAAGGGTAACTTATCACTGCCAGTGTAATGATACTTTGTTCCTCCAAGACCAATCTTTTTTTTTTTTTTAAGGCGGCAGTTGTGTTTATGGGCTTTTCCCATACTTTTTTTTTTAGTTCTGTTATTTATACTTTAGGCTATAAAGAGCAATTTGGACTCCTTTTTTTGGACTTTTTTTTTTTTTGAGATGGAGTCGCTCTGTCGCCCAGGCTGGATTGCAGTGGCGGAATCTCAGCTCACTGCAAGCTCCGCCTCCCGAGTTCACGCCATTCTCCTGCCTCAGCCTCCCGAGTAGCTGGAACTACAGGCGCCCGCCACCTCGCCCGGCTAGTTTTTTTGGTATTTTTTAGTAGAGACGGGGTTTCACCGTGTTAGCCAGGATGGTTTCGATCTCCTGACCTCGTGATCCGCCCGTCTCGGCCTCCCAAAGTGCTGGGATTACAGGCTTGAGCCACCATGCCTGGCCCTGTTTTTGGACTTTTAACCTTGTTGATTATTCTACTTAAATATTCGTTTCTTAGCATGCTTTCACATTGATGCCATTCTTATTTAGCAAGTGGAAAAAGTATAAGAATTCTGAACAACAATGCAAATTCACATACATAATTGCTTGTGAATCTATTCGTGTGGTTTACTGGAAAAAATAAAACAACTGGGCTGGGCACATTGGCTCATGCCTGTAATCCCAGTACTTTGGGAGGCCTGGGTGAACAGATCACCTGAGGTTGGGAATTTGAGACCAGCCTGGCCAACATTGTGAAACCCTGTCTCATTAGCCGGGTATGGTGGCACAGCCCTGTAACCCAGCTACTTGGGAGGCTGAGGCACAAGAATCCCCTGAACCCAGGAGGCGGAGGTTGCAGTGAACTGAGATCATGCTACTGCACTCCAGCTTGGGCAACAGAATGTAAGACTGTCTCCAAAAAAAAAAAGAGAAAAAGAAAACAACCCATACTGTTACTCTGGAATGAAAGTAGGTCTTGATAGAAATTTAGGACAGGGCTCATTGCAAATATATGTAGTTTTTTTCTGATCCATAATTTTGTCTTGATACATTTTATCTAGAGTTTTAACAGTAGGTTTTTTGGTGGGTTTTTTTTGTTGTTGTTTTTGTTTTTGTTTTTTTGTTTTGTTTTGTTTTGAGATGGGAGTCTCACTCTGTTGCCCAGGCTGGAGTGCAGTGGCCGGATCTCAGCTCACTGCAACCCTCGCCTCCCAGATTCAAGCTATTCTCCTGCCTCAGCCTCCCGAGTAGCTGGGATCACAGGTGCCTGCCACCACGCCCAGCTAATATTTTGTATTTTTAGTAGAGACAGCATTTCACCATGTTGGCCAAGCTGGTCTCAAACTCCTGACCTCAGGTCATCCACCCGCCTTGGCCTCCCAAAGTACTAGGATTACAGGTTTGAGCCACCGTGCCTGGCCAACAGTAAAATTTTTTTAGAGTTCTATCTTAATGTAGACACTAGCTAACAATGTAATTTTGAAGAATTGAGAACTGTGGTTAATTTTGGTTTTTCTTTTTCAGTCAAGTGCTTCTGCTCCTGATGTGGATGACCCAGAGGCATTCCCAGCTCTGGCTTAACTGGATGCCATAAGACAACCCTGGTTCCTTTGTGAACCCTTCTGTTCAAAGCTTTTGCATGCTTAAGGATTCCAAACGACTAAGAAATTTAAAAAAAAAAAAAAAGACTGTCATTCATACCATTCACACCTAAAGACTGAATTTTATCTGTTTTAAAAATGAACTTCTCTCGCTACACAGAAGTAACAAATATGGTAGTCAGTTTTGTATTTAGAAATGTATTGGTAGCAGGGATGTTTTCATAATTTTCAGAGATTATGCATTCTTCATGAATACTTTTGTATTGCTGCTTGCAAATATGCATTTCCAAACTTGAAATATAGGTGTGAACAGTGTGTACCAGTTTAAAGCTTTCACTTCATTTGTGTTTTTTAATTAAGGATTTAGAAGTTCCCCCAATTACAAACTGGTTTTAAATATTGGACATACTGGTTTTAATACCTGCTTTGCATATTCACACATGGTCAACTGGGACATGTTAAACTTTGATTTGTCAAATTTTATGCTGTGTGGAATACTAACTATATGTATTTTAACTTAGTTTTAATATTTTCATTTTTGGGGAAAAATCTTTTTTCACTTCTCATGATAGCTGTTATATATATATGCTAAATCTTTATATACAGAAATATCAGTACTTGAACAAATTCAAAGCACATTGGTTTATTAACCCTTGCTCCTTGCATGGTTCATTAGGTTCAGATTATAACTGATTTACATTTTCAACTATATTTACTTTTTAAATGTGTGACTTTCCCATTTTAAAATCTAAACTAGACATCTTAATTGGTGAAAGTTGTTTAAGCTACTTATTGTTGGTAGACACATCCTGTCAAGTGAAGTAGTTTTATAGGTATGGGTTTTTTCTCCCCCTCCACCAGGGTGGGTGGAATAAGTTGATTTGGCCAATGTGTAATATTTAAACTGTTCTGTAAAATAAGTGTCTGGCCATTTGGTATGATTTCTGTGTGTGAAAGGTCACAAAATCAAAATGGTGCATCCATGATCAGCAACCATTTAACCCTTCCTTGTTCTAAAACAAAAACCAAAGGGCACTGGTTGGTAGGGTGAGGTGGGGAGTATTTTAATTTTTGGAATTTGGGAAGCAGACCAGCTTTACTTTATAAGGCTGGAACAGCAGCACTATCCATGAAATATAAACCAAAAATCTTTACTATTTCCTAGATTGCTATTATTTGGTCCTAAGTTGAGTATTCCACAGAAAGTGGTAATTATCTTTTCTCTCTTCCTCCATTAGAAAATTAGGTTAATAATGGATTCCTATAATGGGAGCATCACTACTTATTAAAACACACATAGAATGATGAATAAAGTTTTCTAGGATTGTCTTTTATTCTGCCACATTTATTGATAAACTGAAGGAATTTTTTAAAAAGTTTTAAGAATCATTTGTCACGTCATTTTTAGAAATGTTCTACCTGTATATGGTAATGTCCAATTTTAAAAGTATTGGACATCTTCAGTCTTAAAAAGTTATATTTAGCTGATTGGTTCTCACATATACTTCTAAAAGAGAAATTTTATGTTATAAGAGTTACTTGTTTGGGTTAGATTTATTAATCTCAGTTACCTACTATTCTGACATTTTAGGAAGGAGGTAATTGTTTTTAATGATGGATAAACTTGTGCTGGTGTTTTGGATCTTATGATGCTGAGCATGTTCTGCACTGGTGCTATTGTCTAATATAATTTTATATTTACAAACATACGTGCTACCCTGAGATTAATTTAGTCCATATGAACTGTTGACCCCTTTTGAGACGGCAACATACGCACTCATAAATCAGTGTGTTTAGACTTTTCAAGTATCTAACTCATTTCCAAACATGTACCATGTTTATAAATCTTGATTTCTAGCAACATGCTATAGAAAACACCTGCTATTCAAAACACAACTTCTACTCAGTGTCATCCATTGCTGTCGTGAGAGACGACATAGCAATATCTGGTATGTTGCAAGCTTTCAAGATAGCCTGAACTTAAGAAGTTGGTCCATTAGTTGTATCTGATGGATATAAATTTGCCTCCTAGTTCACTTTGTGTCAAGAGCTAAAACTGTGAACCTAACTTTCTCTTACTGGTGGGTAATAACTGAAAATAAAGATTTATTTTCATGCTCACTTCTTAAAAGTCATAAAAACAGTCAAATAGGATCATGTTTATTGTCATGTGTTTCCTGGTTTCTGACCTGTGTGCACACCCCTTTGTGCTTACAATTTTTAAATTGAATTTCATATGGGGTTTTTATTTGCTAAAAACCAGGCTGTTGAATCACATTTGGGAAGGGTACTTATCTTAATGACTAGTGACTTAATTGGGAAAGTTGAATTCTTGTAAGATACAAAATCCAAGGACTTCTTGGATTTAATCTAATTGTTACTTCTTAGCAGATCACTTTTTTGATAATGAAAGTTAAGCATACTGAATGCTACTTTTTATTGATAAACTGGCTATAATAGTCTAGGGGAAAAATTCCTAAACAGATACAGATTCCTAAAGTAACAGTGGCAGCTGATGTTTCAGTGAACTATCTTGATGCATTTAAATGGAAGTAATACCAGAGCTGACATTTTTAAGGCATTTTTACAGCTTGAAATGAAATGATTTATTAGCTATTTTGAGACCTGTGGAGTTATGCAAGAATTTTAAAAAGTGACACCATATACATCTAGTCAGTTCCTTTACTCTTATTTTTTGGATGGAAGTAGGACACTTCATTTCCAGGATTGTAAATATATTTGGGGCTTGTTTTTGGTGTGGGTTTAAAAGGAAGATACTAAGTATTCATTCTAATTTTGTTATTTTTCTAGTTGCCAGAGATGGTTGCACTGAAATAGAAAAATAGGGGGTTGCATACAAAGCCTCAGTGTGTATTGGATTTTGAAAATACTAGATTGGTGCAATTACTTTTGTACCAACCTAACATGTCTAGGAAAGTACCATCATATGGAAGGAAACAGCAGGTATTAGAAGGTTCAAAGGAATGAGAAATAGGAAGTCGATAGAACCTAATCGATGTTGACTTTCAAGGTAAGATTGTTCAGGTATGTTAGTGGACATCTAGTCCAATGGTATAGCAAATTCCAGAGGTCTCAGGTGCATGTAATTCTACTTTCTTAAGAAAGTAAACACTTAGAAAATAGATTATAACCCAGATGTTTGGATTACACTGAGATAAATATGTAAAGTTTTAGCAAGTCTGAACATGTACAAGCCAGATCTTCAGGTTGACTAAGAAAAGCCCAGAAAGTTCATTATTTACTGTGCTTTCTATGGCATAACTGGTGACAAGGCAGTAAAATGATACATATTTGAACTGGATCATAGTGATTAAATGATTGATCAATGTCATTTGCAAGATAATTGTCAGGTTGAGATTAATAGTAAGTGGCAGCTTCCCAGAAATTTGGGTTGTTATTTGGCCCAAGCTGTGCCCTGGGATTACCACTGAATCTTGCTTGACTTTTAAGTTCAAATTTGGGGGTTATGTGAAGTGATTGAAATAAATCAGGCTGAGGAAGTCGGTAATTTCAAGAATGTAGAGAAAGCATGGTTGTAATCTAAACATGAGAAGCTTAAGTTTAGGAAATGGTTAGACTATAACTTGCTAAAACCATGAAGATTTTGGTCACAGATGAAAATAATGAACATTGGAAATGAATGCCATTTAAATAAAATGCTATATGTAAGCCAGGGGTCAGTAAAGTTCAGCCTGTGACCTGTTTTGTTTGGTTTGGTGCATTCCTGGGTTAAAAATGGTTTTTTAGGCTTGTATAGGATTAAAAAAAAAAAAAACTCACAAAAAAATGTAGGCAGCCCAGCATAAGATACCACCCTTCACAGAAATGTTTGCTGACCCCAGAACTGTCACTTTCAGGTTACTAGAGTTTGTTTTTTTGAAATAGTCTGGCTCTGTCACCCGGGCTGGAGTGCAGTGGCATGATCTCAGTTCACTGCAGCCTCCATCTCCTGGGTTCAAGCAATTCTGCTTCAGCCTCCCAAGTAGCTGGGATAACAGGTGTGCACCACCACACCCAAGAATCACTTGAACCCAGGAGGTAGAGGTTGCATTGAGCCAAGATTGTAGCACTGCACTCCAGCCTGGGTGATACTCTCTCAAAAATAGAAGTTTAGTTCTAGGTTCAAATTAAGTGCTCTACCTGACAGGAAGCTGTGAAATTAGAAGTAATTTTAAAGCATACTTTACATCTCTAGTCAAAGTAAGGGCAAGATAAAACTTGTTAGTAAAACATGTTTTGTTATTTTCTGAATATGTAGCCAGCAACATAAAATACATTCTGAAAGCTGTTAAGGGGTGTATAATGTGTTACAGAAATACCATGATTATAGTTTAGTATTTCACATTTAGTGACATTTTCAGATCCCTTTGTGTAAGTCCTTTGTGTTGTGCAAAGAGATTTTTCCATGAGATGAGAATTATGAACATTTTATATAGGTAAACTCCATAGGTTGGACTGGGGCAGAACTTAATGGCTCCTGGAAAGTGCCCCCCCCGCCTTTTTTTTAAGAGGTTAGAATGCCCATTTGGACAGAATTTAGCTTTTGTGCTATTGATTACTTCTGTACTAAACTGGTAGCCAGTTGTTCACTTCTAAATGAAAGGGAAAAAATCACCCACACAAGTTAGAAAATGATTTGCCAAATTATTTTTTTGAGTTAGTATGTATGTACTGTTTTAAATCAGTAATGTTTGTTCGTTTTGCTGCCCATTTGGGAGTATGTGGCAATTTCTAGTGCTCTTGTACGACATTACTCTTCCTGAGACTTGTATATGCAAGAAAGTATATATATAAAAGATAAATGGTGGTAACTTATCTGAGTTCTGATTCATTATGGACTTTTAGAAATCTAGATAATTGGTTCATACTAGGTGCTCAATTACTCTGACCTTGTGTGGCTTTATTCCTTAAATAGTTGCTTTAGGTGTTACTGGGTAGATGCATGGAAATTGAAGGGCTAATATTAAGGATTTTAATAATGCGTTACTGAGTAGGGAAAATGGGAAGTAGCTTATCTTTGGACAGTTGTATTGCTTTGCACTAATCACCTTGTTTGCAGTTGTAGCTGATTCAATTCTAGATTTTAGGACCAAAAAGATCTCTAATTTAAAGAAACGGTTTTCATATACCTAGAATGAAGATTCTGTTTAAAGTGGTCTTGGTTAACTTGGTTCTTGACATTTTCCTAGAATTTTTTTGGATTGGGACTAAAATGTTCTATTAGCCAATGAATAACGTCCAAGTAAATTTTTGTTTTATTTTGGGAACTTTGCATATTGAATTCTTTGTGTTACACGTAACCCACAAAGAAATGTTGCTTCATATGGCAGCTGCACTCTGAGAGTACTAAGGTAAGCACGTGTTTAGACATTGTCAGAGTGCTCCGACTGCTGGGGTTCTTTTGGAAATAAATGGGCTGAAAATGTGTGGATTTTGTATTTTTCCCATTACATGACAACATGTTTAGGCCTTCATGATTGGTGAGCTAAACACATCTTTGTTTAGAGATAAGACAATTGATTTGTGTACTTACCCTGAAAATTCAGAATTTTGTGTTTGTTTCTGAGACGAATCTCACTGTGTTGCCCAGGCTGGAGTGCAGTGGCGCTATCTCGGCTCACTGCATCCTCCGCCTCCCGGGTTCAAGCCATTCTCCTGACTCAGCCTTCTGAGTAGCTAGGATTACAGGCGCCCGCCACCACGCCCGGCTAATTTTTTGTATTTTTGGTAGAGACGGGGTTTCACTATGTTGGCCAGGCTGGTCTCGAACTCCTGACCTCAGGTGATCCACCTGCCTCGACCTCCCAAAGTGCTAGGATTACAGGCATGAGCCACCATGCCTGGCTGTTTTGTTTTTTGAGACAGGGTCTCGCTCTGTTGCCCAGGCTAGAGTGCAGTGGCATGATCTTGGCTCATTGCAACCTCTGCCTCCTGGGTTCAAGCAGTTCTCATCCTTCAGCCTCCCAAGTAGCTGGGACTAAAGGCGTGCACTACCATGCCCAGATAATTTTTGTATTTTTGGTAGAGCGGGGGTTTCAGCATGTTAGCCAGGCTGCTCTGGAATTCCTGGCTTTAGGTGATCCACCCATTTCAACCTCCCAAAGTGCTGGGATTACAGGCATTAGCCACCAAACCTGATCAATATTCAGAATTTCTAATGAAACTTCCACTTTTTTAATAAAAAGAACTTTTCATTAACAACTACAGATAATTTGGTTTTAATTTGATTTTGTGTTCTAAGCTTTGTAGTGTATTTCTTGCATATTTGCCAAGCCTTTACTTAGGTGCTAAAGCCTAGATCAGGATCTTCTGAAAAATGTATGGGAAGCCTGGATTGGATAAAGCTTTTCTTAAGGCAGATGTTCATTGGTCACTATTCACAGGCAAATCAATACATGTGGCAGGGATATTGTGTGTGCTTCAGACCTCTGTATTTTGTTCGTAACAGTATACGTTGAAGATGGAGCAGCACTTAGTCACAGTATATCAACAAAATTCAGTAGATTTTGTTGATACACAATCCAGTATTAACAATTGGACTGACCTCTCTAGCATTCCAGTCAAATGCTAGAGCTGGAAGTCATGTTGAATTAAGAAATACTTTGTATGCTGAATACTTCTAAGTGAAAATACAAACAACAGGAGAGGTTCTCTTCAGGAGGAAATTGACAGTTTATTAAGAGAAAACTTTCAATAAATCGTTCATTGAAGAATTTAACCAGCACTTCTCAGTTACGGGAGAGCATGGATGTTTCCTTTTTTCAAAGTCATCAATCTCTTGCTACTTAGGGTTATTAAACCTTAAAAATAACTGCAGATTTTTGGATGAAAAATTTTGACTTGAAGATTGCAGCTGTAGCTGATGAAATGACTTACTGATTATCCTTGCAAATTATTTTAATCTCACAAGCAGGTTAAAAGTGGGTGTAATTCTTTTTAAGCCATCTCTACAGCTACTCTGAAAGCTACTCTGCCAAAGACAGATTAGAGGCTGTAAACTAAAGAGACTGAAGTGTTTACAGGAAGGCAAAGGAATCCAGTCAATTTAAGTATGAGAGTTGGAAAAAAAAAAAAACTTCGGAAAAAAGTGTTGTAAAAAGAAGGAAATGCTCTGTGTTACTAATTTTCATCCA